ACCATGAGTTCTAGAGCTAAGAATTTCGTGATGTACTCTATGATTTGTCCCTTTCGAGGACTAGCTCGTAGCGTGCGATCGAGTGTTGTTTCGCCCTCGTTTCGTCATATTTTCACATTTGTGGGTCTGCAGGTTTTTCGACGAATGGCCGTATGTGGACGTGCGCCAAAACAAACGCCTCTGACATTTCAAAACGAAATATGCCCTCCAAGACTGATTTCATCGATTGGATTGGTCGATTTCAATTGATTTCAATCTTCATTCCATAAGATAACAAAAACATAATGAAGCATATGTCACTAAATTCGTTTCAATAGTTGGTTCTATCACTATCCCTGAGTATTCCATGCTGCATGAGAAGCGATCGAAGTCCTAAGTAGTTGAAGGGTTCGGACGGCTACCTCTATGTGAGACCTCGCCTTCTGCAAGGCACGCTGATCTGTTTGTTTATAAAAAGTTATGATGGCTTTTTAAGTAATGCTTAGTGTTCAATACTCTTTGCGTCGTATGTAACTACTCTTTTCTTTACGATAAAAAATTTTTTTCTAGACTCTAGGGGACCTATAATTAGGGCTAGAAATTTTTTTACTTCGAAAATACAACGTTCTAGACGTACACATTGCACGACGTTCCGTAACATGATTGTTATTTCTGCCCCGGTTAGTAATAGTCACCGCTGAATGAGAGCTCCCTTCTTCACTCAGTGCCACTTCTGAAATCGCTAGCAGTTAGCACCAGATTGCGGAGACGACATCGTGATAATAGATGCGTTGAAACCAGCCTGGTTCACTCGGCGCTCCACGTTCTCTACGACGCTGTAGTCGTTGCAATTGTTTCGAGCTGCAAGATGAAACACATCAATCCGCTATAACTAAAATCTGACCCGAGAAACTGCGTTTAAAATTGGTCGACTTCTGGTTATTTGGATACGGAATATCTGGCGTTTTAATGAATTAGAGAACAAAAATCTCACCTGTACGTGCTAATGCTACCAAAATCTTCCAAAGATACCATGCTGCTTGCGAAATCGAACAGCTCTGCTTGAAAGCGCTCCAAATAGACTGAATTAATTTCGGCCAAATGGAGGTTAAGCTTAAAGCGGCAAGTCGATTACAACGATATCAATTTCAAGAAGATAATAAAAGCATTTCCATAAATGTTGATAAGTCCAGAAATAAAAATTTAAACGGACCGCAAATTGTGGAGAAATTATTTGAAACTCTGAACACCACAAGATGATGTTAGACACGAGCCTATCGTATTTCCTTTTATAGCCTTCCAGTGACTCGTTAGGATTTCTCTGAAAATGTTGTGTTAAACAGTTTTAACGCTATAAAGCTAACCAAGAGAATGTATACGGTATACTTTGAAACAAGGACCTGTTACTGAACATTATAGAACCGTTTAGAAAGCAATGCCAGTCTTCACAATCCATTTTCGAACACAATTAGGTCAGAAAATAACATTTCCTTTTCAAATAAGCACTAAGTGAGTCGACACTTTCCTACTGACGTGAATAGAGCTAGTTCATAGCAAATTCGCAAATTTCAATTTTTCCCAGCCTCTGTGGTCTCAAATATAGAAAATTTGATTCTATTTGAGATGGACAGTTGATTCGCCAGCCGTTTATTTCCAAAAAAGTGATGCGGTGACAAGTAAAAAGCTGTTGGATAAGAAACTGAGGAAGAAAGCAGAGCAGTGCACATGCGCCGACGAGTTTTATAACGCAATTCATTCATTGCATGCTGACCCTCGAAACGGAGGGATTTTCAGTTAGTAGTCTGAAATTCCAGTCATTGAGCAGCGTTATCCGTGTTCAGTTATTTTTATGCACATTCCAATCAATTTAATTAAACAATTTGACTAATTTATAAAATCAGAAACGGATGATCTTAAGAAACCGAGCTTTGTGGCGTGTCTACGACAGTCATTAAAGGCAATTTTTGCTTCTTCATTTGGAAATGCCACGATGAAACGTAGAAATCCGCCCAGCTACCTCCTTTCCGGCTGCGACGTACAGTGGGGTATTCATCTCCCCAGCAGGGTCTCCCAAGCTGAGAGGATGTCCATGAAAACCGTGGCTTTCAAACCCACTTAAGTGCAAACAAATACCAGGATCCACCACCGTTCTGGTACCGAACTAGATGCATGTTGGCAAATTTTCTCCTGAACCACAAGCCCGGCGACTGCCCGTGCTATTGGACGACCTGGACAGACTATGGATAAGCCGATCGCGGCACACGGCAGTCCAGGCAACCACAATGGGAAAACCAACAAAACTCCGAAAATAGAAATTATGCTGGAGCGCGCATAATCCGTGAAAACGGGCGATCAAAGAATTTCAAGTACTTGTGGTGACTTGGCAACATGACGATGAAAAAAGGAGGCGATTGAAGGAGAATGGCAACACCACCGTTAGTTGATAAAGAGCCGAAATAATCCGTAAATACAATATTGCGTGTATACAAAAAGTATATGAAAAGAATGAAGTTTTATTAACTCAAAATATCTTAATTTTTATTTATGCCTGTTCTTCTTCCATGTCAAGGGGCGCCGTGGAATACAACCACAAGGATGCTGAGATTTGGGCAAAAGTCGTAACACCTGTCGGTAAGCGAATCTGTCAATAATCTTACCGCGTGATCGCGTGCTATCCACCACACTAACTTATAGCTTTGCTTTACTTTTTTCCCGACCACGTTCTAACTCTAACGGTGCTATTAACAATCGCTCAAAACTGAGAATAAAGGTAAGACGAGATGAGTGAAAGGCAAAGCTAGGTGGTGGGTTAGTGCAGTGGGTAGCGAGTGAGCGCCGCCAAGGGTGTAATCTCGGAATCAAAGCCCACCTTAGGCTACAAATTTGGCTAATATCTCAGAATGTTTATGGTTAGTAACCCAATGCTCGAGCCTTTCCGCAAATCGGGATCCTACCGGTTGAAGAGCATTTGGACGTATACGTCCAAACATGAGGTGGAGAAAGAGTGAGTGAACGATTCGAAAATACGGTCTCCACCTTCAGTTCACTTGGTTACAAAACTTTTTTGGCACAGTATGTGCATTCTTTCAATGTTGCAGTGCTACAAATCCTATTCTCCACACTTAATGACTTACGGAAATTCGGCAAACTTTGGCCGGTAATTTGACTAAAAATTAGCTGTTAATATAATTGAACCGCTATCACGAATAATGATTACTGTATAGGGTGAAGGGGTATAAAAAACACCGACGTAGACCGAACATAATAAACTGCTAAGCCCTTGTAATGCTGGCAGCAATGCATTTGCTCAGCGGACCAAAGTAACACATTAAATGCTAGCATATATACCACTCAAACCTATAGAACAACAGCGCAAAGTCTCTTCCACGATATTTTCATGTGCACAACATCTTAAATCCACTAGTTATCGAAGAACTAGTGCTTGTTTTCGAAAAACTGGCAAATGCGTAGAAGCTAAATGTTGGGCGCCGTGTCAAGCTGCATAGCCGCTAAATGCTGCGTGGCACGAATGCGTTTGAGCTAGCGGTCTATCTCACAAGCTTGTTGTGACTTTACGTCAACTAGAACTCCTGCCTTACATATAGATATATTATTACTTGGAAGTGCTTCACTACACTTATAGGGTGACAATTGTTTCCATCTTTCGAACTTGATTTAGTTTTCTGGTATTTCTGCTAGAAACCAACGAGAGAATGAATAGAATACAAGCATAAATATGTATGTACAACCACATAGATGCCAAGATATTCGCAAAACTTGGACCCCAAGCCAGACTGACATCAGACCCTGCCGTGAAAAATCATAGTACGCAGAAAATGAAGGGTTAATATTATGTATGTAAATCTAAAAATATAGACATCAGATGAAAACTTAGATCAAACTTGCATGAACGACTTGATGGATACATAACTCCACTCCCACCTGCGTTTTATAATAGAATTCATGAATGAGATTGAGTTAAAGAAAGCATATAGGAATAAAATGAGCCTAACGAATTGCCTTCGAAACTTGAGAGTTTCACAAACACTGATTTCAATAAACATACACTGCGCCAAACAATTTTTAGTTCACGATCCACGAACGGAAGCAATCGCTCAGTTGCAGCGTCAACATTGGCATTAAAAACCTCAGGCGAGAAACGTACCTGAAATAATGAAACACTGCACATGCATAGCTCCCTACAGGGATCAGGACACCAAAAAAATACTTACCCTATTCGCATTACGATCAATACAGCTCCACTCAAGATTGTCTTCGTATATCAATGAACGAAAAGCAATGTTGCTAACGAGATCGTATCTGTGATTTTATAATTAGAAAAACAACTGACAGAAAAAAACCCAGACAAAGTCAATCAGAGATTAAGCACGGTAAACAACTCCATCAATTATCTATTGCCTCATTGTTTTCGGATGTTCCCTAGTAACGAGGTACGATGTACGGCGTTATGTTCATCTTCCTATAAAGGTAATCCAACCCAGAATCCGTTAGATAATTTTAGTTGAAAGCCCAGCTAAAAGCAAACCAATCTGGGAAATCGCTGCCATCCTACAAGAAGCCAGTTCGAAGACAAGGCAATTAACAACCCTCTGATCCGCCATAGCATGTGACTACTTCAGCTGACGACGTGGGAATACCGTAGCAACGAGTTCTCTGGAGTCAAGAGGAAAAAAAGAGCGAGGGAAACTGTGAAGCGTGCTGACATTCCTCATACACAACTATTCATAAAGATAAGCAATTCAAGCGTTAAAATTCAAGAATATATAACTACGAGCATCGACAAAAGGATAAACTCTCCAACGAATACCTTGTTGTGGATTCTCGTTTGAGCGTTTCAAGAGTAATAATTTCATCGATCAGACGCCTAGTAGCGCTGGCAAGTTCCGAACATTGGTCATCTCGAGGGCTTGTACTCCTAAAAGAAGAAAATGATCAGGTAATATAACTATGTGACTCTATAGACAGGACTACGACATTCGCTCTTGAACAGTGTCAAGTCGCCTTCGTAGGCGTCGTATTCGCAATGTGACACATTCCTGCTCATTCAGAGGAGGTAACGATCGTCCCATCGCAACAAGTCGGGCTACTTCAGCCGCTGCGCGTAAGGCAGCAACCGACACCCTGCAATAAAATATCCAATAAGCGGGAGTAGTTAAAATGGAAACAATAAACATATTCACCACAAAGAAATAGAACAAAAAAGACTCACCTTGNACGTAAATCTGTTGGAAGATCTATGTTGTGCAAGAATGAGCTAACTGGTCTAATACAGAGTGGACACTTTCCAGCAAGTTTTAACCACTCTGAGGTGCAACTGAAGCAGAACGAATGATTGCAACCTTCGAGAAGCGTTGGATCGATTTTCCTTAAACGAAATTTGTGTCCCATGAGAAAAGATGGATATGAAGAGCACGTAACAGCAAATAAAGGTGGTACCACGTCCATGTATTTTTCTGATTTATTTTTCAAGAGTAAACGTCTTTCAAAATGCAAATTTTACCCGCTGCATATTTGCCATTATTATCACAGGCAGTTTTTCAGCGTATTCTGGAAGCCATTCTCTCTTGAGAACACACTGAGACATAAGAAGTGGCGAAGGCACTTTTGAGCTTTCTACAGCTTGTTTAAGAGTCAATTTTACCAGGAGGCGTGCCACAGAGCTGTGATAGTGAAGCCGATTTCTGAACTGTTATAGCTGCTGTTCCCTCATAGGAACGATGCACATGCGAACTTTCAATGTGCAGCCGATGGTTTCGAACACCTGGTTTTGTTGAAGCGACTCCAAGAGGACCATATTCAGACAGTTTCAGAGCGCAAATGGCGTAACCTTTCAGGTACGAATTGAGTTCCCAGGATCGACTTTCTATTAACCTCGGCATTGGTATATGAATGCCACGTTTATGAATTGAGTATTGGATGAGAAATCTGGTTAGCCGCAAGGTATTGTGCGTACTGTTCTTGTAAAGGACCCATCTATTATCTCCAACCATCATGTTCTATAGAAAATATTGTGGGATACTAAATGCTCCACGTCGCTTGCGCACGCATTTGACTGGTCATAACTCGAGCTTGATGTGAAGCGTTTTCGTCAAATATGGCACTCCTTCTAGATCGAGGCAACCTTCGTATTTTCTGCTGCCATCGTTGAATACCGTGAATCGGAATTTCACAGTCCGTTTACAATAGGTTCTCTACCACAAAGCTCGCCTTCTTTAATCGTTGATGAACTTAAGTGAGGAATGAGAACTTAGCAAACTGGCCTAAGATTTTTGTGGATTCATCTCTACTCTATCGTTGTGCATATGCCTTCCAGCACCTTTTCTATAGAATATTCAGGAAAATACTAAGAGCAAGAGTCTGAACTGAATTAAATGCAATAAAAAACTTCACGACATATCGGAAAGAAATAGACATGCTAGGATAACAAAGTCTAATAATAATATGAATGCTAATGTAATAAATGCCTCTCAACATTTTACCGCCTCATCGTGGGTGGGAGGTGTTTCTGGATGCCGGGTCACTATCTACAGCACGGCGAATCATCCCCACAGGGTCTCCCAGAATGAGAAAGAGCTCTGCATCCTCCCACCAGGAAGTCTAGCTAAGAGAACCAATACTAAGATCCACTTCCGTCCTGGTATAAAACTAGTTGTATGTAGACAAGTCTCCCTCTAATCCACAAAGGCAGCGACTGCCTATGGTTAAACGACCTGGGGCATACCTTGTCTAGGCTGACCTAGGGACTCCAGAGAACCACAATGGCTGAACTGACAAAACTCCGAAAAAGAAAAAATTAGGCAGTGACTAAAGCAACAAATGAAGACTAGCTATCCAAGTATCCTGATAAGTAAGTAATATCACCGATACCAAACTTGAAGGCGTGGTCTAAAGAATGACTTGTACGATGGTACGACTTGCTCTAACAATTCACATGTGAGAGGCATCTTAGAAACTTTTCCTATAATTTAAAGAGCCTTTAAACGAAATGTCTCCGTGTATAATTTACCATTTTTTTTTTCATAGAACAGACCAGTAATTGATCAGTATTACAGCGTAAAACCTACTGCGTAAGACATATGGCGCAGACGTCCGAATCCGTTTTCGAATTCCCTTGACTGGGAGTACTCACCAGCTCTTCGTTACAGTTCATTATTTTAGTCTTCGTAGAAGGAAGAGATAAATTAGGCAGTTCTGAACACCCTAAAACAGAGAATTGTGAGCTATACTGATTTTTCGAAATTCTCTAGTCGTTGAACATCGTGAATGCTTCCGAAAACATTTTGAGACGTGAAGACGAGAAGAATTACCTTCACTGTCACCCATCAGCCGAGCGCAGATTTGAAAGCCGAGATGGGATTGATCCCCGCTCCCAAGCCTCACCACCAAGCCTATCATACCTCCGGAGTCGGTAAACTGGTACCAGACCTGTCTAGGTTTATAGCAGCACTGGCTCGATACATCAGTAGGCCATCGGCAGTCACTGTTTCAATAGAGGCCAGATCTGCATTTAATCACCTTCAATGATGCTTAATGAGATCGAAAAGATGGTGCATCCCTCAGGGATTGATCAACTTCCAGTGCTTTATCCCTTTTGCTTTATAGTCTAACTTTATGAAGTTCTCTGGGTTGTCGAGCATTGAAGCTTAGGTGGCAAAAAAAATGATGATAGCATGATGAGAAAAAATGCAAAGGATAAAGTGCTCGGCGTTAATCAATTCCGGAGGGATGGAGTGTACATTGGACTCCATCAAGATTCGTTAGAGATGACTGAATGCACGTCTGGCCTAGACAACGACTTACGGTGGACTGCCGATTTATCATGTCAGTACTCCTACCCTCCCAGACCAGTCTGATGTCAATTTGCTGATTCCGAAGGAATGGGAAGCTTGGTGAGCTCATGGTACTGGCTTGACCCAAAGACCGCATGTGCAGACTATTGGGATCCGAATCGTGACACGCTAATCCACACATTGCGTACTCTAGTACACTACAATTTCTTGTATGGTGAAAAATCTGCAATATATAAACACGAAACCCAAATTTCGGTCAAGTGAGAAGCAGCTCGTTTTAAACCGTTTCGTGTGGGATATTGCCACAGAGGTGCCGAGATATGCCGAGAGGTGCAAAACTCGGAACCACACATGGGCTCCACACCGGCCATAATTCACATAAGGATCTCACGTGCTATCCACCACGCCAACCAAGGGCTTTTTTTTGCCTTACTCCCAGCCATGTTTTCACTAATCGGTGCTATCAGAAACTGTTTTGTTCTCTACTAATCTTTCGCTTAGTGATGGAGACAAGTCGCATGCAGTCTTACATTGGCGAAAGAAGTGCCTCTTTCAAGTTGAAATATCAAAATAAGATGTTGTTTGGGATCATGAGTGATTACAAGGCATTCCTTCCTACAGTTCATTTCTGGATTCTTAAAATTGATCCATAGCGCCTCTAGAGCTTCACACGCAGAAGTTCTAGATTCCAGCACAAGAACGGTCATTTTTGCTTCAAAATCTGCTCCTACGCTATTCCACCAAAAGCCCACAGAAAAAGGGATTCGGCAAGGCGACTCAGTATCGTAAAAGATGTTTACTGCCTCACTGCAGTGGCTAAATTAAATTACTAGAATAGAACCGGAACGGCACACATTTTGATGGAAAAGTCCTACCACATCTTCGGTTTGCCAACGAAATCGTCGTATTTGCAAGGAGGATCAACGAAGGACGTCAAATGAGCTTCACAGAACAGAAACAAAACTGGACAGCGCATAAATATGATGAAGAGCCAGTTTATGAAGAACCCATTTTGCAAAGAGGAATAAATCGAACTGATGGTTCTGTGATTGCAGAGACCACCTAGTCGTGTACCTTGAATACTTGGTGGACATGGAGAAAGAATTATTCAAAAGAAGAGAAGCAGCAGTCGAATTGTGGGTGGCCTTTCAGGAAACCAGTGAGCGTTTAACGGACCCAACACACCTTCGCGCTTACCTTTTCTATTCAACAGTCCTCCTAACGCTCTTTTACGTTGCAGAGACGTGGGCTGATCCCTCAACCACGTCAAGAACTCGATGCGCCGTCCAACAGCGCTTTAACGATCGATGTCTTTTGAAACTAAACTGCAGCTCACAACGTCTAGCGGAAATGGTCGTCCTAGACCTTCGAAAATTGTCCAATTTTCGTGACCTAAGAGAATATACATCAATAGCGAAACATAGGAAAGAAGAACAGATGACGGATGGACAAAAAAGTTTGTGGAATGGATTCCAAGAGAATGCAAGCGCCCTCTTGCAGGCTCACTCAAACGATTGGTAGATCAAAGGTGATGGTTTGTTGGGATCATAATAGCGTTAGCGAGGCCCGCTCCGTAGTGCTCAATTGATTGCTATGTGTATTCGCATTGTATACTCTTATTATGCATTCGTAAATGGGAATAATTTCGGCACCACAGAACGCGCCTCACTAACGTCATCATGTCGCAAGCAGATCACCACCTTTGACGACATTAGCGTGAGAGAGAAACGTATGGAAATTGTAGCGGGACTCGCACTGCCAGTGAAATCTTCAATCGTGGACCCATACTCTTATTGTTAGTTATACGAACGAATAGAAGTTCACGCCCAAACTCGTGTTGACAAGAACGTCAATACCGCCGGTTATTTTACTGTCGTATGTTCCGAAGCACAGTTTTTCGGAGTGTCATAGACGGTAACTAGTATATATGTATATATATATATATATATATATATATACATATAAATGTACATACATGTATACGTACGTACAGATACACATATGTATGCATATGTATACATATATACATATATATGTAAGTACAGATATACATGTGTATACATATATATATATATATATACATATACATATACATATGACAGCGATTTATGAAGTATTAGGCAAAAAGTGGATTCGTACAGCACATGATTTCCGCACGTTGATCTCTCTCACAAGAGGATCTCGTGCCGATATGGAGAATAGTATGCTAATCGCGCACAAAAAGTCACTTCTGTAACCCTGAGCCGCAGGTGCGTCTAGGGGTATGAACTCACTGCTTCTGCCCCGTCGAATTGTCACAAGTCTGTAGTTACGGAAATGCATTCATTCACCTGTGCGTGTGTGTGTTCGCGTTTACGCGGACTGTATTGTACGAGTCAATTCGGCCAAATAGATCATTGTGGTGGGTGGAGGAATGACGCTATGGATCAGTAAGCAAAGGTGCTAGTTCGAACCGCTCCCCAACGCTTTTCCCCGATTTAGTCGGAAATGGTTTAGCTAGGCTATCTCTAAGATTACAAATGAATCAACGCGATCAGCATTCTACGATATTAACAGAGAAGACGAAATTCTCAAGCAGTAACCGAAGCATCACCAAAA